GCAACGACTTCCCAGTGCCCTTTTCAACAGTCCGATCGTACAGAAATCCATAGGCGTTGTTTCTGGTGATTTGATTTGTATATTTTCATATGTAATAGAATAAATACCCATTTTATTCTTGAGCTGCTTGGGGTATGCGACAGATAAATGGGAAGGTTGTGAAAAGAACTTATGTACACATGACTTATGTCACTTTTTACACAGAAATCCTTTTTGATTATGTTGTATACTGTTGCCTGAGGCGCGTGGACTGCTTTTGCTACTGATCTTGTTTTCGTAAATTCTTACCTGTTACAAGATGCCACACTGCTTATCACAGCTGGGATACGACTCGTTGCAGGTCTCTTTCTCGATGTTCCTGGCCACCCAAAACTTATCGACATCTCTTTGTTCTCCAATGCTATTAAGTACAAGGGATATCCCCATCTTAGAAATTCGAAATCTCCGATTTGAATAAATCTTTAAGATCCGAGTGTATAAATATTTTGTCAGAAAGAGCTATTGTATACCCTTCCCAAAAGTGATTGTTTTGTGAAAAATAACTTTTGATTTCTACTTTATTGCACAGTGTTTAATTTCTTTTTTTTTTACAAAAACTCAGTAGAACAACGTTAAACTTTACACAATATAAATACTTTAAAAACTATATTGAAGGTACCAAGCCATACCTAAATACTTCTACTTGTTTCTGTGAGTCACAGACCCGCCATCATCAGGTAGTAGACAGCAATGATAATCACTGTTCTAACATTTATACACCTTTCCAATTTTGTATAGTGTAAAGAAACTCAGCCAATAATTAGTATAAATAGTGCTGCCACCTATTTATCTCTCTTTTACAATAAATTCCAAAAACCCTTAGACTCTATTTAAAGTTAATTTCGAATTCTTAAATATTTCTAATGATTCTATTATATTTAGTATGTATTTATTATTATAATACATAATCAATTTGACATTGTTCCATTTGATACTCTGAAAACGAGAATTGTCTGCCATATGTTCAGTTGAAACAAATTCATTAATTTTATGTTTCTCTATAGCCCATTTATGTTCATGAAGTCTAAATTTTAGATTCCTACATGTTTGGCCAATATACATTAAACTAATGTGATTTTTATCTTCAAAACTAGCTGTAAAATGACTAAGTTTGACCCGAGGTGAAAAAGTTACACGACTGTTAATATATTTCTTTAACACATTGTCTGTGTATGCGAAAACCGTTTGAATACTGTCATATTTTTTCCTATCAACCTTAGTTAGTAACCATAAGTTTAGTACACTGTGGAATTTTTAATTTATTACAAAACTTATTATAAGTTATATCAATAATGTTACCATTAAATTATCTGTCAATGACAACAGGTTTCAACAAATGTAATACTAATAGATTTCATTCTAATACTAACTCTTCTTTATGCGAATAAATATGTAAATTCTGTCTACATATGTCATAAAATGACATTTTTTGAGGATAGGTGATTAGGTAGCGGCATGACAATGGAAAATGGTTTTCTATAAATTGAAGTAACATTACAAATTCTTATCATTTAATTGAAATATCTAAAAATATTTAAGCATTTTCCTATTATATTTGTAATGTTAACTGTATTGCAGGATTTACTAATTCAAATATATGTTGAAATCTATTAACGTGTCATTGATTAATATGCAGTGAGAGGCTTACAGCATTAGAACAACCGAATAAATTTAACCCACTGTTGTGTTTACAACGCGTATTGTAAGGGTCAAAATGCTTTTCATCAACAGGTGAAAGGTTTGGCAATAAACTCTTTGGTTTCAACGCTTCTCTGTGAGTTGTTCATGTTTCAGTTTGAATCAAAGGCACTAAATACAACTTTGGTTAAACCCATTGTGTGTATGAGCTATGTTTATGGCATTTTCTTTGAGCGACGACATGGAAATGACACGTTAATAGGATCAAAGCCGTGCCCTAGAACTTAACTCTCACTGGACACAGAGCTTGAATGTGAAGTGTATTTCGTGTGTAAATTTGGCTTTGTTTGTGTATTATGTTTCAGTATAAAACGTCAAATTAATTGTTAATCCAGTTAATTGTTGTTCACTTGGTATAGTTATTAATAAGAACAAACACAAACACACACACTCATTACATTTACCTGTGTTGTGAAGAAGATTAGAAATATTCTTGTAATGGAGAATCTAAAATTATCTGCTTAATTTTACCATATCATGACTAAATTTTCCTCTAGTCAGCTCAAATAGTGCATTTTAACACCACCTCTCAATACTTCGACCTGAATGCAGCCAGAGAAACTGCTTCCATACTTTCACTGTGGTGCATTACACCTACCTCGTGTCATCCTTTCCTTGTATTATGCAATGTCCAAATTTTATCTTGCCTTAGAGACCTTGGAACCACTAACTGTATCACAGATTGGCTACCACACTTCCTTCACTCATAGCAGTGGAATAACATACCATCTATTACTTGAACCTACCCATACATGTAGCAGATATAAAGTGCACTTGTGCTGCATTTGTCAATTTGAAATGGCCATGCTTCACCTTGCTGTACAGCAAATAATAACTAAGCTATATCGCACTCCTTTAATTTTTCTTCCAAAAGCTCTTGTTTAGTCACTCAAAGTGTCCATTCTATGATAGTATTGTTGCGTCATCGAGATCACATGACTACAGTGACGCCACGTTTCTAGAACTATCCCGTATCTTG